GTAGATATAGAAAGGTAACACTGAGAGAAAGAAAGGACACATGTAGATACAGAAAGGTAACAATGACAGAAAGAAAGAACACAGGTAGATATAGAAAGGTAACACTGAGAGAAAGAAAGGACACATGTAGATACAGAAAGGTAACAATGACAGAAAGAAAGAACACAGGTAGATATAGAAAGGTAACACTGAGAGAAAGAAAGGACACATGTAGATACAGAAAGGTAACAATGACAGAAAGAAAGGACACAGGTAGATATAGAAAGGTAACACTGAGAGAAAGAAAGGACACCTGTAGATATAGAAAGGTAACACTGAGAGAAAGAAAGAACACAGGTAGATATAGGAGATAACATTGACAGAAAGAAAGGACACCTGTAGATATAGAAATTCAGTTCGTATGATTCACATATTTACAGTAGAGTCTTATACAGTTCGTATTATTCACATATTTACAGTAGAGTCTTATACAGTTCATATAGTTTACATATTTACAGTAGAGTCTTATACAGTTCGTATTATTCACATATTTACAGTAGTCTTATACAGTTCATATAGTTTACATATTTACAGTAGAGTCTTATACAGTTCGTATTATTCACATATTTACAGCAGGGTCTTATACAGTAAAAGTGGTAGAATATTACCACAACTTTTACATTAATTGAAAGATCTTTTGATGTGATGTGAAGTGTTTTTTCTAGCTCGTATGTATAAAACAGTATAAAGACAACATTGTCTGTTTGCCTACTGTTTAATTAATAAAGAATAAATTCACATTATATCGAGAGATGGCAGCACGATACATTATTATTTCTCTTACCCCCTAATTTACGCAGCTTGACTGAGCAGTGAAATATATGTTTTAGGTTCTATCATACAATTTTTTTCGACAATTGTAAGCGAAACGTACGAAAAAACGTGATTATATTAACATTAATACTAAAGGAAAATGAAATATATGTAGTCGTTGTTTCTCAGATTCTGTCGAAGCCATTTTCTATATTTTTGTTCATAACTACTTGGTGTTTTTTAGAGAAGCTGGAATGTGTTGCTCTGAACTATGAGACGTGGATCTTATGATCACACGTTGATCGATATTGATCAGAAGATTAATAGTTTAGTCTTTTTGATAACCTCCTCTCAAGACCAGTAACATATATCTAAATCTATTTCACCAGAAATTACTAACTGACCAGTAACATATATATAAATCTGTATTACCAGAAACTACTAACTGACCAGTAACATATATATAAATCTGTATTACCAGAAACTACTAACTGACCAGTAACATATATATAAATCTGTATTACCAGAAACTACTAACTGACCAGTAACATATATATAAATCTGTTTTACCAGAAATTACTAACTGACCAGTAAACAGACCAGTAACATATATATAAATCTATTTTACCAGAAATTACTAACTGACCAGTAAACAGACCAGTAACATATATATAAATCTATTTTACCAGAAATTACTAACTGACCAGTAAACAGACCAGTAACATATATATAAATCTATTTTACCAGAATTTACTAACTGACCAGTAACATATATATAAATCTGTTTTACCAGAAACTACTAACTGCCCAGTAAACAGACCAGTAACATATATATAAATCTGTATTACCAGAAACTACTAAATGACCAGTAAACAGACCAGTAACATATATATAAATCTGTATTACCAGAAACTACTAACTGCCCAGTAAGCAGACCAGTAACGTATATATAAATCTATTTTACCAGAAACTACTAACTGACCAGTAAACAGACCAGTAACATATACATAAATCTGTATTACCAGAAACTACTAACTGACCAGTAAACAGACCAGTAACATATATATAAATCTGTATTACCAGAAACTACTAACTGACAAGTAAACAGACCAGTAACATATATATAAATCTATATTACCAGAAACTACTAACTGACCAGTACAAGCATTACTCGTCTATCAGTGTCATTATTAAGACTCTACTGTAAATATGTGAATCATATGAACTGTATAAGACTCTACTGT